GTTATCAATTCAAGGGTAAGTGGAAAATCTTGTGGTACAACATATTAGATGTCACATTAGAATTGGTATGACTGAAATGAGGTCTTGGGAGTTCAGGTGACCATCATTTTGATTAGTTTTAGTATTATTGTATATCAATGCTGGTATTGTTTGATAGCTTAAACTAGTAAAGGACATAGCTCCAGGCATGTGTAAGCTGCACATTAGTGGAAATGTGTATTTATTTGCCATTCTTCATTGTTCATTTCTTTGGGGGCTACAATAATTGTTGAATGTACGACACATTTCTAAGTCAAGCATTGTACAGTTCTGTGTGTGGTTTCTGTGTTTTGCCAACTTCTACAACTATAATGGTTGTGAGACTTCTAATACAAGAATGCGTTTTTTCTAATCGATAACTTGCATTATCACACCCTTGGAGTTTTTCAGTATTTGATATTCATCGAATTATTGAAACTCTTTTAGCCCAAAGAGACCTAGGCGGGAAAGTAAACCAGAAACTGAGAAGCACCTTACCAACAATGCTCCAGATGTTAGAAAAAATTCAGATTCAGAACAAAAAAAGCAGATTCACCTGAAAGATGCTGGGCATCTTGAATCCCCCAGACAGGACAGCAAAACAGAAAGGGCTGCAAGAAGAGTATCTGACCAGAAAGGGGATGTTCACATCGAAGGAACAAAGCATTCTTCTAGTCCGAGGAGAAATATGCAGGATAGTAAACCAGAAGCTGAGAGGCACCTTACCAAAAATACTTCAGATGTGAGAAAAAAGTCAGATCATGAGTTGAGATCAACTCTTCAGCTGCAAGATTCTGCTCATCATGATGCCCCCTCTAGGCCAGAGTATAAGTCAGAAAAAAGTGCAAGAAAAATGCCTGACCAGAAGAGGGATGTTCACATTGAAAGAATGAAACGTTCATTTAGCCCAAAGAGATCCAGGCGGGATAGTAAACCCGAAACTGAGAGGCACCATACCAACAATAGTTTGGATGTTCGAAAAAATTCAGATCTAGGGCAAAAAAACCAGTCTGAGGTTCAAGATGGCGTGCATCTTGAAGCCCCTTCAAGACAGGACAACAGGACAGAAAGAGTTGCTAGAAAAGTATCTGACCAGAAAAGGGATGCTCATGCAGAAGGAATGAATTCTGAGCCAGTAGAATTATCTCAGCATCGATCTGTTAAACGTTCTTCAGATCCAGCAGAAGCACCTCGCTCTCAATCATACTTTCAGGTGTCTTCTTTAATAATTGAATATTTTTAATTAGCCTATTACTTTCCTTTTTCTGTCAATTTCAAAATTATTTTTGTAAGGAAAGAATTGTGCGGTTCGGTTTCCCTTGTTTTTTAAATGAATTTCAACCACATTTTCACGTTCTTAATAGTTATACTAAAAATAGATGAGAATCTAATTTGGGGACCAAGGGAGTAGTTTTTTTTATTGAAGTGAGTTCGTATCCGATTCTACTTACTTCGTGAGAAGTGGACTCATGTTCCCTTCCCTTCTTTTAGAGCTTTGTATGACATAAATTCCCATTCATTCTGTCTCTAAGAAGTCTTCTTTAAAAAACATTATATTGTCCCAAAAAATGACTCCGTCTTTAAAAGTCAACTTTCCTTTCAAAGTAAAGCTCTTTTAAAGCACATTGCTAAGCAGTAGTCCAGTACCTATAAAGGTCTTGGAAATACAGAGCAAGTTTTAGAGGTGCAAATGGCCATGCGTTCTTTGTAAAAGCTTTGAGTTGACTAAAAATAAAAATGTTGTGCCTTACTGAAAACAATTATGGAGGAAATTGACCAATAATAAAAATTAAAGTTGCACATTCCTGAAAAAAAGATTACAATTTTTTTAGAACAGTGGGAGTACTAATTTTGTTTCCTGCCGGAAGAGTGGATAATTGAAGTATTGCTATTGCTTTAATATCTTATCTATATGCATATCTATACGATGCTACTTGCACTTTAGAAGGAGAGAGCAAATTGACCAGATCAAAACAACCACAAACTATCAAACAAAGCAACACAAATCCTTCTTTTAATTTGTCACCCAAAAAAGCAACACAAATCCTTCTTTGTTCATTTGGATAGATAATTGCACATTATTAGACCTAGCACAGTTTTGAAAACTTTTCCTAATTGAAAAGTATCACACCCCCGCTTTGTTCAGGATCTAGCTATTAATAAGTAAATAACATGTTCTATGATTTGTTGAACCCTATATTGGGCAGATTCATTGAAGTTCTTGTTCAGCTAGTTGACTTCAAGTACCTCTGTGTGTATAACACTGTTAGGCTTGCCTGTGCATTTCTTATAACAGCACGATGAACGCGGTAATGCCGGGCAAGCTGGTCGAAGTTCAAGGCGAAGAGAGCCAGATGGTGAGTTCCTCTTAATTCACCTCGTGAATGCACCCCATCCCTTGTTTTTCTCTTAAAACAAAAGTACTTTCCAAGGGGTGCAAGAATGAGATTAAACAACTTGGGTGTGTCACACGAGAAATGTATAATATGGGTCTGTTTATACTCTTTACATCACCTAGCGAGTGATCTTAGGCTAACATTGAGTGGATATAATTTATTGTTCGGAGTTGGATCTAATTTTGTGTGTTTTTTGCTGCTAAAGCGCATGCTCTGAGGAGAGAACCGATGGAGCAGGTGAACAGGAAACGAACTAATGACGGATCGCTGGTGGATCAGAAGATCAAAGTTCAGGGGAAAGAGAGTGATGTTTGGCGCCATGATGGGTACTTTGAATTGGAAGCAAACCCAAAACCACCTGCAAAGAAAAGGTCATTTAGAGAGCAAAAAATCTCTGCCGATACTGAGAAACCAGAAATGGAGCCAGCCAAGCACAACTCCTATCGTGATGCATCTCACATCGTTGAAAGAAGAAGAGAGAGAAACAGCTCTTTTTTCCATCGTCCTGACCAAGCATTTGCCAGGGAAAGAGGGACAAACAGGGGCAGGGCGTGGCAAGACAGGATTCCTTCAAGAAGAGATAGGTACTATGACAGGGGTAGTTTTAGCGGAAGAGACACAATCAGCTCAAGACCTGATCATCACCCGAACAATACTGTTGACAAATGGAAACATGATCTTTTCAGCGAAGCCAACAAGAGCCCAGCTCCACGGAATGAAGAAGATCACCTTGCCAAAATTGAAGCTCTCCTGGCTTCATAACTCTCGCATTTGGTAGTTGCTGCAGTTACCTTCCAAGAACCTGCACACCATTTCCTCTCTAAAGTTAAGTATTTCAAGATATTATTCTGTAGGCAAAGACAGCTATTTCTTCAGCTTTATTCACAAATTGCCTGAGACTCTTCTTATGAATTACTTGTAGTAGCTATTTATCAGTGCCAGGTACTACTGTATGCATGTATATGTTCGTTTTTATGAACAAAACAATTTTTGCTGCTACACATGAGAGTCTCACTTGCGACAGGCTGAGCATGTCATTAAAAATTTCAGTACGCTGCCCTTAATGAGGGAAGCCCATACTCTCAAATACTGATTTCGGAATATGGATAGATTTTTGGGAATACACTCCATATGGTGTATCAATAAGAAAATCTTGCATTAAATTGATACTTCATACTTGAATTTTGGCATGTATGTGGCTATATAGGATACATGTGTTTATATTGAAAAATCTTAAAGTTCATATCCATTGTTGAAATTGTATCAAAACATTTCTAAGCTATGTGTTCAAAAGGAATCACAATAGGGTGAGGGTTGGAGACTTTCCCTCCATCCTAAAATTATCATATGATAAAAGATTATCACTTTTCATTAAGTATTTTAGTTGTTTTGGGGTTCAAGTGATATCGACCCGGTTTTTAATTGGAGCCTACGGGGTTCTTTTTGAAATAATGATGATTTATATCCTCTAACATCCCCACTAAACCTTTTTCACCCTCTTCAATTGTATCCTTCCAAATTTAGTTGACTTTGAAGTCATAATTTGACTCCAAATTTAACTAAATCTGAGGGGATACAATTAAAGGGGGTGGGTTGGGTTTGGGTCGGGTTGGGATGGAGGGTTTACCGGGAGGATTAAGAGGGAGTAACTGTCAATTTTTCTAACGAAGCAACGTAGGAACATCAAGTCAATGTCACGAGAACCAAGCCTTTTGTTAAGCTAAAGCAGCAATTTCAACCCTTATTTTGCACACCATGTTGAGATTTCCACATCAGATCAAGAAGTATCACTAGAATGTATAAAAGGGAAAACTCTACCTTTCAAGTTAGAGAATAGATGCCAATTTTATATGTAAAGTGCTTAACTTTACTCGATACAGCGCCCGATTCTCTTAGCCCACCATTTTTTTGACATGGTATGTGATGGGTATATCCTTATACCCGACCCGGATAACTGAAAGGGACAGGTCAAAATATGACCGGTCACTTTTATCAATCACCAAATGAAGTTAATTCTTCGATTGGGACGGGTCAAAAGTTGACCGGTCACTTCCACTAAAAAAGTGACCGGTCACATTTTGGGCAATAGCCAAAATATCACCTAATGTTGTGAAGAATTCAAGAAGACCAAAGAGACGGGTTGAGCTCAAGAAATGACCGGTCAACCTTTGAGAAAAAGGTGACCGGTCATATCATCTTACTTGACAAACATTGGTCCAGTATCTCAGGCATGGTGAACCACGTCAAAGATCGAGGGACCACCCCGCCGTTCCTTCTTTCACAAGATAAACAGTGAAAGGGATGTTTGTCACTTTGCAGGGCTGATTGGATTGAGAATATCCATCTATAGTCTTTGATTGAACAGTAAATGTCTTGGCTTATAGTTGCTAAATTCTATGATTGTACAGTGCTTCCATTATCTACAGTGACCTTCCCACGAGCTTCCTATTTTGTCCATGGATGAACAGGGGAGGGTCACAAATCCTCCTCTATAAATATGATGATATTTGATAGAGGGGGGGGATCCAATTTTTCTCTCACTAAAGTTCACTCTTGAGATAGAGTAAGAAATATAATTCGGATTGAGGAGATTTACCCGGTCAAGGTCATACTTTGTGTTCTTGTTGTGTGTTTTATATTACGGGTCGAGTGTGTCCAGGTCAAACCCGGTTAACCCACCCAGCTATATTTACACCATCATTTTTGGCGCCCACCGTGGGGCCGATTTTTAAAGTTTTTTCGACCAGGTCAAAACTTTGCCCCCACTAAATATCCACAATCATGTCTTCGAGCAACTACAACGCTGTGTCAAGTCAGGCTGCGAGTGAAAGCACTCCTGCCATCCCATTAATGATGTCGAGCATGGGGACGACCTTTGCTCCGATCACCACTGTAGGATCGATTGGCATGATCCCAATCATGTCAACCCCTACTCCTACGCCGACGACAACAATGTTCCCAGGCTCAATAACAACGCCTGGTGGAGCATTCACACCATACCCGTCAGCTTGGGCTCAGTTTACTGCTGACCCGGCAAATGCTCAGGCTCTACAGGGCTATCAACAGGTGATGGCCATGATGCAACAGGCAGGGGGCTTCATGCCATTTGCCTATCCTGGCATGACGCCACCAATCATGCCACCACCGGTGTCGACCCCGTTGACATTTGTCCCTAGGATGGTCCCTATACGCCCGATGAATCTGACGGGGACCATGAATGAAGCAGCGCCCTCAAATGTCCATGAAATCGATGAGGCGGGGCAGGAGGCAGCCCGCAGGAGGAAGGGTAAGGCTATAGCCAAACCCAGCAAGACTCGAGATTCGGCGTTCAAACGCCCAGGGGACAAAGAGGATGGACCCCGCAAGTCAGCCAAACTACGTCTTGGTCCTGAGATGGGCCGAACTAGCACAATGGAAAGACTTGGCGGGAGTCGTCACGCCTAATCTCGTCGTTCTAGTGAATCTGAGACGATTCACCAAGACGAGGAGGAAGCAGAAAGCCAGCCGAGGGTGTCGGCATATACCAGGCTCTCATACGATGAGGATGACCTGGACAAGATAGGGAGCGTAGCAAGGAAACTACGTGCCCTGGAGGAAATGGTGGAAGAGAAGGCGGGAGCGAAAAAGCACACCTTGGCTAAATCTCCCTTTTCGGCCTGGGTACATGCGCAGAGGTTGAGGCGGAAGATTAAGCTGGACGTGGAGAAATTCACGGGAAAGGAGGATCCAAACGTCCACCTTGACACCTTCCACAATGCAGCACAGATGGCCGGGTGCACTGATGCTGAGGAATTCCTACTCTTCTTCTCATCCTTGAGAGGGAGGCCATTAGAATGGTTTAACGGCCATCCCCATGGCAGGATTGGGTCCTTTGAGAAACTAGCCGAAGTTTTCCGCAAAAAGTAACAGGACAATTGCATCAAGAGGAAGAAGTTCACCTACCTTAACACGGTAGGGCAGAAGGAGAAGGAGTCCTTGACTCAATTCTTGACCCGTTGGAGGAATGAGGTCGACAAGGTAGAAGAGATGGACGACAAGACGGCCATGTCTTTGCTGATGAATGCCTTCCGGTCGGGTGACCTCTACACCGAATTCTGTAGGAGGCCACCCTCCTCTTACCAGGAAGCCTACAATACGGCATGGGAGTATGCCGACGCGGAGGTCTTGAATAAGAGCAAGCGGGAATTGGAGGAAGGATATACGAAGGTGAAATCCGACAAGCCGAAGAAGGACGACCAGATGGGAGGGTCCAAACTAAAGGCTACGTATGACGGTTCTGTCCATCAAATAAGGGATGATAAGAAGGGAGAACAACCCAAGAGGCCTTGGACGGAGAAGTGGTGTACCTACCACCAATCTGACTCCCACAATACGGTTTGGATTGCCGAAATGTCAAGGCTGTGCTCAAGGAGATGGCCTTGAAAGGAGAGCTTGGGGAAGGTTACGCGACGGGGAATAAGAAGGACCCGAAAGCAAACACCTGGACCCGTCATCAGGGAAAAGACCAGGGAAGGAGAAAATCCGGGAAGGATAACAACAATCCGGATAAAGAATTCATAGAGATGATTGTCGGCGGCCCAGAAGGTGGGGATACTGCCTCCCAGCGGAAGAACTGGGCCAGGAGCTTACACGTAGCGGTGGTTTCCCTGGAAACACAAGGGAAGCACGCAAGGAGGGAACCTATCACTTTCACTGATAGGGATCTTCCCAGGACGGGGGGAGATCATAATGACCCTCTGGTCATTACAATGGATATCAATGGAGCTGATGTGGCCAGGGTCCTGGTTGACACAGGAAGCAGTGTCAATGTTTTATACTTGGATGCTTTCAAGAAATTGAAGCTTGACAGGTCCATGTTGAGGCCATTGCAAACTCCATTGTCAGGCTTCACTGGAGCTAGCATAGAAGCGGAAGGTCAGATAACCTTACCGGTTACCTTGGGGTCAGGTAACAGGACAGTGACCAAACAAATGAGATTTGTTCTGGTCGACATCAAATGTGTGCATAATGCCATTCTGGGTCGGCCTGGAATCAACCAGGTCAGGGCTATTATTTCCATGGCACACTTATGCATGAAGTTTTACACTCCCAGTGGAATCGGGGAGGAAAGGGGTGATCAAAAGAACGCCGGGTCATGCTACCTGGAAGCAGTCAAGAAGATGACCCGCCAGTTCGAACAAATTGAACTCGTCTCCCAGCAGGTAGACAAGAGTGAGGAGAAGGCTAGGATCAAGCCAGATGCAAACACGGAAGAGATCCAGATTGATGCCTCCAAGCCTGAAAGGAAGGTCAAAATTGGGGCTGATCTTCAGGAAGAGCTAAGGACTGAGATTGTCCAGGTGTTGACCAGGTATAAATCATTATTTGCCTGGAGTGTTGCTGATATGCCCGGGATTGACCGTTCAGTCATTTGCCATCGTCTCTCTGTTTTTGAGGGTTCTAGGCCTGTAAGACAGAAGAAGAGATTTTTGGCAAGTGATAGGAGGGACTTTGTGAAGAAAGAGGTCAAGGACCTACTTGTGGTAGGTCATATCAGGGAAGTAAACTACCCTGAGTGGCTGGCCAATGTTGTCTTGGCCCCGAAGGGTGATACCTAGAGGATGTGCGTGGACTACACAGACCTCAACAAGGCATGCCCGATGGACTCTTACCCTCTGCCCAGCCCGGATCAAATGGTGGATGAAACTGCCGGGTGTGAGTTGCTCAGCTTTATGGATGCCTTCAAAGGGTATCATCAAATTTTCATGGCAGAGGATGATGAGGAGAAGACGGCCTTCCTCACTCCGGACGGCACATACTGTTACAAGGTGATGGCCTTTGGGTTGAAAAACTCAGCGGCAACTTATCAGAGAATGGTCAACAAATTGTTCAGGCCTTTGCTTGGACGGACCATGGAAGCCTATGTCGATGATATGCTAGTGAAGAGCAGGGCAGCTAGCACACACGCTCAAGACCTGGAAAAATGTTTTGAGATTATGGCTAGGCATAATCTCAGACTTAATCCAAAGAAGTGTGTTTTTGCTGTGAGGACGGGGAAGTTCCTAGTCTTCATGGTCACGAAGAGGGGGATTGAGCCAAATCCTGAGAAGATTAAGGTCATTATTGAGATGCAACCCCCGACATCGGTAAGGGATGTCCAAAGGTTAACGGGGCGCTTGGCGGCCTTAAACCGGTTCTTATCCAGATCGGCAGAGAAGGCCCTACCTTTCTTTAAAGTATTAAAGAAAGCCAACACCTTCGAGTGGGATGATGAATGCGCCAGGGCATTCGAAGAGCTGAAGACATACCTGACTTCGGATATTGTCTTGTCCAAGCCAGAAACAAAGGAGACCCTCTACCTCTACTTAGGGGTTACTCAAATGGCTGTTAGCTTGGTCTTGATGAGGGATGATGGGGTCCAGAGGCCCATCTATTATGTAAGCAAGGCCTTAAATGGGGTAGAAAGTAGGTACACTCCTACGGAGAAGGCAGGGTACACACTTTTTATAACAGCGAAGAAACTCACGTCGTACTTCCAAGCCCATCCCATTGTCGTATTGACCGACCTACCATTGGGCACAGTCATGAGGGACTCCACTTCATTGGGAAGGATGATCAAATGGGCCATGATGCTTACCCAATTCAACATTGAATATCGTCCGAGGATGGCGATAAAGGGGCAGACTGTGGCCGACTTTCTTGTGGAGATGACGGGTCACCAGGAGGAGGAACCGGCAAGGACGATCACAGAGCCTTGGTGGTCCATGTCAGTAGATGGAGCCGCTGGACCGAAAGGTTACGGTGGAGGTGTGGTATTCATAACTCCGGAAGGGTTCAAGGTATATCATGCCTTGATCTTTAACTTCAAACTCACAAATAATGAGGCGGAGTATGAGGCATTGATAGGGAGCCTGAGATTGGCCAAAACCCTACAAATCACATGCCTCAGGATTAAGTCCGATTCAAGCTTGGTGGTAGGCAACATAAATGGCAACATGGAGGCCAAAGGAGAGAAGATGCAGAAGTACAGAGATTTGGCAAGGGCCTTATTGAAGGACATGACTGAGTATGTGATGGAGCAAATCCCAAGGGGGGAAAACACCGATGCTGATTTGCTATCAAAATTGACGCAAGCAGCCCCGGAGCATGTGTCCAAGCTGGCCAGGATCGAGACGCTGAAGAAGGCTAGCATTGAAGGGCTTTCTTTGAGCCTGATAGAGGAGGATGAACAGCCCAATCTAGGCCTGGTGGAGCCGGATGATATTTGGATGGATGACCTGGTCAAGTATTACATGACCGGGCAATTTCCTGAGAATGAAGACAGGGTAAGAAAAGTAAAGTTGAGGGCTCTAAGATTCCAAATGCTAGATGGAAGGCTATACAAAAGGGCATTTGGCGGTCCGTTGCTGAGATGCTTGACCAGGGCAGAGGCAGAAAGAGTGATCGCCGAAGTTCATGAGGGTGTCTGTGCAACCCACCAAATGTCTAGGACACTCGCACAAAGGATCATCTTGCTAGGTTACTTTTGGCCTACAATGAATCAAGATTGTGAAAAATATGTGCAGAGGTGCAAGACTTGCCAGGTGTTCTACAAGTTTCCGGGAAGGCCTGCAACCTACTACCATCCAGTTTCCAATGTTATTCCATTCGCAAGGTTTGGGATGGACATCATTGGGGCCTTCCCTCAAGCTCAAGGGAGAAAAAAGTATGTCATGGTCGCTATCGACTACTTCACAAAATGGGTGGAGGCCGAGGCATATGCAACCATCACAACCAAGCAGTGCCAGCGCTTTGTCTGGAAGAACATCATCACTCGGTTCGGGTCACCCTGAAACATCGTGACGGATAACGGGCCTCAATTTCGGAATCTAGGGTTCACCAAATACTTGGAGGACTTCGGGATTACTCACAACAAAGCTTCCGTGGCCTACCAGCAAGGGAATGGCCAGGTGGAGAATGCGAACCGCACAATAGTCGATGGGATCAAAAAGCGGTTGGGTGAGGCAGGAACGAATTGGTTAGAGGAGTTGCCACATATCATCTGGGCTTACCGGGTCACTTCAAGAAGGGCCACATGGGAGACACCTTTTGTCCTTACATATGGGTGTGAGGCCAGACTACCCATCGAAGCTAAAATAATGACCTTTCGGGAGAAGATCTATAAAGAGAAAGGGAATGAGGAAAACCATTTGGCAGAGTTAAACTTGTTGGAAGAGAGGCGGATGGTCGCTGAGGCTAAAATGATGGAATACCAGCAAGCAGCCAAGGCCTACCATGATAACAAGGTAGGGCCTCGTTATTTCCAAGTGGGTTATGAGGTCTTGAGACGAAGGGAGGCCAGCAAACTCGGAGACGGGGGAAAACTTGCAAAGAAATGGGAAGGCCCATATAGGGTCACAGCAATATTACGCCCTGGGACATACAAGTTAGAAACAATGGAAGGTCGAGAGTTGGAAAGGTGCTGGAATTCCCACCACCTTAGAAAATTCTACAGATAGGCCAAATTGGCAGGGCATGTATTTGTAATACCCCTTCGATGATAAATAAGAGCTTTCTTCGATACTTGTGTTGCGGGGTCAGTAATACTAAAATAATATGTCTTGATGTAAGAGGCAATGTCAAAAAAAAAAAGATAAACCCTTGAGATAGGGGCCTTGATGTTGAGGTATGGCCTTGAGATAGGCTGGGTCTGGAAGAGGACTCGCGTCCATACTTGCATGGATCCCTACCAAATTTTCGTTTGGATAGGGGCAAAAAGATGCCAAAGTAAAAAAAAATTACCGTCTTGCATGAGCCATCCTTTGCGGATTGAAGGGTCTAGGGAAGACTAGAATTCACTTCAAATGCATAACATATGGACATGTAGGATTGGATGAGGGCTGGTTCTCACCGGCATACCCCCACGTGGGAAGATTGGGTTGGCTAGGTCAACCTAATGATTAGAGAATGGCACATTAAAAAACTTAACACCTGGAAGAGGGGCCCTGGAAGAAGGATATTGCCTGGAAGAGGGCTGAACCTTGGAGAGGGTTCGCGATCATAGGACATGGTCAAAATCTCCGAAGAAAGTTTGGGTCTTGATGTTGAGACTTAATGATTCCAAAACCGATTCGGATTATTCGTTCGAAATTTGAACAAGGTTACTGTTAGGCATGACATCCAGGCCAAAGGGGTAAAGGAAAATGGCATGGTCAAAAGTGACCGATCACTTTTTGATGTTTTGGATTGACAAGAAAATGCGAATGAGAAAAAATTAAAATTTGACCGGTCAACTTTGAGAAAAGTGACCGGTCACTTTTTGATGTTTTGGATTTGAGGAAATCAGGTAGATCTGGAGAATTTTCATTTTGACCGGTCATATTTTTGACCGGGCACCTAGACAGGAAATTTGACGTTATGCTGATTACATATTGCAACCAAGCCATTGGAAGTTGATCAGGAAGAATTCAACGTAGACGAGTGTCACATTCCAACCTGGAAGTTGACTAGGTAAGAAGACAAGCCGGGAAGAAACTGACCTAGACGTTTTCAACTCAAGAGACCAGGACATGAGATGACCTGGAAGTTTTCAAGCCTTGCATCTAAAATGCTTCTCAAGACTTTCAACCTAGCCTTCTAACCAGGACACGAAATGACCTGGACATTTGTAGCAGCTCAACTTGGACATAAGCCGGTCCAGAAAAGTAGTCAGACGTGAGGTGCCCTGGACCTAGACGTTTTCAAGATTACAAGACCTGGACATTTTGAAGAGATGAAATTGGCCAGGACATTAAAAAATCTGGACATTTTCAACCAAGCCAACTAGACCGGTTACTTTTGGAAGATTGTCAATCAAGCTTTGATGTTTTAAAGACCAGGCCATGAGATGACCTGGACATTCTTGAAAGACAATTCCTAAAGTTCAAGTCCGGCAAATATAACCAAGCAACTCCAAAACAGGAAAAAGACCAGGCAAAGAAGTGAACATGCGAGAAAAATAAGTTCAACCATGCAATGTGAAGCAAGTAAGACCGGTAAAATTCAAGAGCATGCCAAGAAGATTTAAATATCATATAAGTCAAAAGTAGGCCGGACATCCCCCAGGCCTTGGGAAAATTTAAAGATTTTTTTTAATCAAACTCTAACCTACTCAAGGGGAAAGGGGGGAATTGGCTCTTCCTTTTATAAAGCTGGAAGCTTCACTTTGGCCGGGTCAAAGGAAGGGTCCCTCTTTTGAAGCCTTGAGTAGAGGAGTGACCTCTCATCCTTCTAACCGCATTGGAAACCATATGAACCGATATCGGTTATCATCTTTTTTCCCTCCGGCTCCTTGTACATGGTCTTGAAGAAGGCCATTGTCTCCTCTGGCCCAACTAGAATGGACCGGGCAGTCTCGACATGATGCCCGGCCGCCCATCGTGCAGCATCATCAGGAAAGGATTGCTCCTTTGACCGGGCAGCCTCTTCAGCTTGGGCCAAAGCATCCTCCAGCTCTGCCAACTTCCTCTTCGCCTCCACCAGCTTGGCCCTTTCCTCCTCTAACCTGGCCCTTTCAGCCATCAGATCTTCTTCCAGCTTCTTCTCCCTTTCAACCCGGTCATTAATCTCTGACTTAGCGGAGTCAAGGAGGAGGGTGAGCTCGGAAAGCTGGTCCTTTGGTTCAACGATTGACCGGCCAACTTCTTCAGATATAACTGGAAAACATGCCTATCAGTAAAAGCAAGGAAAGAATTAAACCGGGAGGAAAATCAGAGTTGGTACCTTGCTAAGTTTCTTGGCTAAGGACAAAAATGTCACTTCAATGGACTCCCCCTCTAGATCTGATAGCCTGACCTTCTTCCTCCTTTCCCCCCTGGAAGTCTTGTGGGAACCCTTCCTTTTCTGAGAGGAAGAATGACCGGTCCCTTTCCCTTTGGCCTTGACATCCTTCTTAGGAGAAAGGACCCGGTCACTTTCAAAGAGATGGGTGGCTGGAGGAGAGTTCAGCTTCTGGCTCTGTTCATGGATAGGGCTACACCGGGCACTTGTGGCCCCATCCATTTCAGGGAAGTAAGGAGGAGAAGGAGGCTTGGAGAGAGGAGACCGGTTGGAGTGGAGGACTTGGACATCATCGTCGTCATCCTCGATGATGGTGGTCATCCTGTTGAAATTCATGTCTGAAAAAGAACAAAGCAACAAGTGACCGGTTAGTTTGTAAACCTTGTACATAAATAAAGAAAATGAAAGTAAGAAGCTTAAGAGAAGATGATCGACCTGGATGAGGAGAACTGGCCCCAGCATGACCATCTGGGGAGTTGGCCCGGTCATCTTCTGCGTCATGGGTCGCAGATTCACCCCCATCCGGATTAGGTAGCCGGAATACCCAGCCTCAAGATCTTTAGTGGGCTCCGGATGAACCCTTTCAGGTTTTATAACCCGGTCAGCCCACTCAGGGTTAGAGAAAGGAAATTGGTCGGAGGGGAATTCAACGAAAACAAATCTTTTTTTCCATCTTTTGTGGCTAGGGGGAAGACCGGTCACAAAAGATCTCTTATTACGAGAATGAAAATAAACGAAGCCTGGACAGTTACTAGTCCCGGGCAAGACTTCATACATATGGAGGAAAAGCTCAAGGGAGGGGTTGATTTTCAGATTTTCACAGATATTAACAAAACAATTTAAGAACCGGTGAGCGTTTGGAGTAAGTTGACCGGGCAAAACACGAAACTTCTTACAGATTTCAATAAGGAGGGGGCGAAGAGGAAAAATAATACCTCCCTCTAGAGAAGCAACATGAAAACCCAACCGGGTTCCTTGGTGGGGTTCAATGATGTTGGGCCAAGTGGTTTTGGAAAGGACTTTGTAGCCCGGTTGGAGAATGGTACGGACCTCGGCCAGAACCTTTTTGGTAACCCTAAAAGACTCTTTGAACACCGGTCTGACATCAAGGGCTAGGAAGCCCAAGGATCCCAGTCGTTCTTCCCATTGCTCCCAACTGAGGACCTTGGGATTGAATCGACCGGGCAGTTGATTCAAAGGGACAGGCTCCTGGGCAATTATTTCCCGGGCCTGAGAGATAGACTGTTGGGAGGGGCGACGAATCAAAGGAGTGACAGGGGGAGAAGAAGACTCAGAGTGGGAAGAGGAAGAGGGATGAGAGCCTGATCCATAGGATTGGCCAGATATGTTTTGGCTATCAGAAGGCATGACCTAGGCCTACCGGTCAAAAATGGAAAGATGGAAGAATTAAAAGACTTGAAGGACTGGAGGACTTACTTGGCAGATGGGGGTAGAGAGAGAAAGTTGACCGGGCAAATCAAGAGAAGCGAAGGAGGAAAGCGAAGAAATGAAATGGGTTGGAGGGGTATTTATAGGAGAGAAGGAGGCGGTTTGGAGCTCGAGGCGACAGGTGGGAGAAGGAGGGCCTGACACGTGGAAGAGGTTATGATTAGGGGGGAAAATTTGAATTTTGAATGGTAAGGTGAAAGGTTTTGGGGGGAAATTCCAAAAACTTGAAGGGTCAGGGCCAACGCTTGGACTTCCACTAACCTGACACGTGGAAGAGGTCATGCAGCGTATTCCACAAATCCAAAAGTGCCAGGTCTGATATGAAGACGATGAATCCAAGAAATGGGCAGGTCTCCATAGAAAGGTCATGGGAATGGCTTGACAATTTAAAAAAGGGACAGGTCAACGAGAATGACTTGATGATTCCAGAAGGAGACAGGTCTAAACGGAAAGGTCTGATAATTCTAAAAGCGACGGGTCTAAAAGGACAGGTCAACGAGAATGACTTGATTATTTCAAAGAAGGACAGATCATGGGAATGACTTGATGATTTCAAAAGTGATAGATCAACATAAATATACTTCCCACCCTTGATGATTTCATCACAAGGCCGGTAAGTGGAGGACTTCTTGATGGGTATATCCTTATACCCGACCCGGATAACCGAAAGGGACAGGTCAAAATATGACCGGTCACTTTTATCAATCACCAAATGAAGTTAAATCTTCGATTGGGACGGGTCAAAAGTTGACCGGTCACTTCCACTAAAAAAGTGACCGGTCACATTTTGGGCAATAGCCAAAATATCACCTAATGTTGTGAAGAATTCAAGAAGACCAAAGAGACGGGTTGAGCTCAAGAAATGACCGGTCAACCTTTGAGAAAAAGGTGACCGGTCATATCATCTTACTTGACAAACATTGGTCCAGTATCTCAGGCATGGTGAACCACGTCAAAGATCGAGGGACCACCCCGTCGTTCGTCCTTCACGAGATAAACAGTGAAAGGGATGTTTGTCACTTTGCAGGGCTGATTGGATTGAGAATATCCATCTATAGTCTTTGATTGAACAGTACATGTCTTGGCTTATAGTTGCTAAATTCTATGATTGTACAGTGCTTCCATTATCTACAGTGACCTTCCCACGAGCTTCCTATTTTGTCCATGGATGAATAGGGGAGGGTCACAAATCCTCCTCTATAAATATGATGATATTTGATAGAGGGGGGATCCAATTTTTCTTTCACTAAAGTTCACTCTTGAGATAGAGTAAGAAATATAATTCGGACTGAGGAGATTTATCCAGTCAAGGTCATACTTTGTGTTCTTGTTGTGTGTTTTATATTATGGGTCGAGTGTGTCCAGGTCAAACCCGGTTAACCCACCCAGCTATATTTACACCATCAGTATAAGAGTGAGGTTCGCCCGGTTCTCTTTGCCAACTTTTAGATACATTTTTTAATTTTATACCAATTACGAAGTACAAAGTAATCATTTAAAAAAATTTCTATCAAATATAAATAGACAATATTATGAATTACCAAGTATCAAATAGGAGGGAGTAGTTGTTTAATTATGTGTAACATGGAATAAATCCCTTTGCTAATTCTTAGATTCATAATCGTTTTATGAACCTTAATACATAAAATTATTACTCCCTCCTTCCTAAAACGTTCTTCCCCTTATGAGGTTTAACTGAGTTTATTTTCAATTTAATTTATTTTATTGTAAGTGTAAAATTTAAAAAATAAAATTTATATATTTAAAAACTACATCAAAAGTTCTACAAAACAAGAGGTAACAAGATTGTATTGTTTTATCAAATAACTAATGAAAATAGGTAAAGAAAGTGATTACAGTTTAACCGTGTGAGAACTGGGAAGAACATTTTAGGACGGAAGCCGTATATGTATTGGTTCTTGTAATAATAAAGATATTTAATTATGAGCGCATGAAAAATATGTGACAAGATCCATATTTTATACCCCCTCTGTCCGTAATTTGATTACAATATTCCCTCTCATTCTTGTCCCAAAAAGAATTACTCCCTCCGTCACACTGTATTTGTCCACTTTTCCTTTTTTTGATTGTATTTGTCCACTTACTATCTTTGTAGTATCAAAAGTCTTTTTTTCCCCTCCTTTTTTAATTTAACCCACTCCACCTGTTCACCCTTACCTTCATCCATTCTCGTATATCTATATCCACTGTTTTAGATCTATATCCACCGTTTCTAGATCTATTCGAAGTTCCTGCTGAGATCTACTCCTAATCTCTCTCATCCTCTTCGTATTCCAACCATGGAACCCTCATACACTGAGTGGGAATTGTGTTCCATCGTCTTTGAAACTCTAATTCCAACCATGGAATCCTCATTCTCTGAGTTTAAATTGTGTTATTTCATCCTTGAAACTCCAGAATCAGTCGGAGTGAAGGCGACGATCAGAATTTCAAACTAGTCACCCTCCGTGCATGCATCTATGGATGGTGAGCCACTGCACCCTCCTGTGGTTGTGCCCTATGTCCCTTCCCATTATGAGCCCTTCATTGAAGCCCCCAAGCTTGAATTTGACACAAGATTCAATGTGCCGGACTGGTACCATGATTCGTCTATGAAGGCACTTTTGAAGATCTTGCTTCCATTGATGTTTAAGCAATGGGGGAGTGGTTCAGGAGATGAGCATACCGGGGTGAAGGTGACAAAAAAAGATTCTGACCAGCCGCCCTCAGTTTATATGTCAATGGATGGAGACGAAGGGGGGAATGGTTCAAGATCTGAGCATGCCGGAGTTAAGGTGATAGTAAACAATTTCGACCTATCGCCCTCTGTGCATGTGTCAATGGATGGAATCGAAGGGGCATTGCAAGCCAAGGAGTACAAATCTCCCTCATCTTCTGTAACCCACGACTATGATGATGATGTCAACTTTGTGCCTGAGTCAGAGGAGGTTGATGGTGAACCAATGTACCCCAAATTGGTTGTGGCCTAATTTAAACAAGGGAAGTATTGGTTCCTTCTTTTTACCTTATACACTTTTTGTCTATTGTTATGCTTCTGGTAATTGTGCACCGTGTGATGATTCTGTATCTGAATGTGCACTTCTGTGTTTTGAATCTGTATTTGTGTCCTTGATTGATTACTTCTTAGTATTGTGAAGTCCATGGATTTGTCCCTTGATTACTATGAATTTGATCTCCCTCCATTGGTCTATGACGAAGCTTCTAATAGTATTCCCCAATAGAACTTAGCATTGCAAAGGCTATATAGTGGTTGTAGTCACTCCAATCACACACGTGTGAGTGTAAAAGAGACAAAAAGACAACCCAATACTAAATTCAGGATTGGTTTTTCAAAAACCAATGGCTTCATATAACTATACTTGGTCTTCCAAATGACATTGTAGTCACTCCAATCACACACATGTTAGTCTAGAAGAGATTCTCTTTGTCCACATTCTTTTTTGACCAAAAAGTAAAGAGTTTTTAGTACTACCTTTTTTTAGGTCTGTTGAATGAGCAGATACTTCATTTATTCTTCAAAAAGCAATGGTACACTTAGTTTACAAAAAACAATTCCACTTGGTCTTTACAAAAAAGAACAGATAGTACACTTTTTTTAGGTCTGTTGTATGAGCAGATACCTCATTTCTTCTTCAAAAAGCAATGCTACTTTGTTTACAAAAAAACAAACCCACTTGGTCTTTACAATAAAGAACAGATAGTACACTTAGTTTACGAAAACAAACCCACTTGGTCTTTACAAAAAGAACATATACTACACTTGGTCTTTACAAAAAGAAACCCACATACTATTACACTTGGTCTTTAGCAAAAGTTAGGCCACATACTACACTTGGTTTACAAAAAAAGTGGCTAATTACTACACTTGTTCTTTGCAAAAAAAGGTGGCCACATACACTTGGTTTTACAAATACTTAGCCACATAGTCTTCTTAGTTGTCATCATCCATAACCTGTCCCATTGCATCATCATCCAACATCACTGTCCAGTCCACTTCCAACATGCTCAAAAAGTGTTGGGCTTTGGCTAATCCCTCATTCGTAATGCAAACTGAGATGGGTAGTTCTCCATGCCTCAAAAGTGTATTCTTTCCCACATGTGGGATCTTGTAAGCATTACAACCCAGAACTTTGATCACTTCCCCTATATAGTATTTGTAAGCTTAGCCACACAATGTTTGATAATTGTAGATCAAACTCATAGTAAGACTTCATCACTGCTTCAACTAGGTCATTAATTGTTTTGCACCTCTTTTCTTGCTGCAGAGCTTGAATAGCCCTAAAGTATCCCAAGTCCAGAACATTTAGGTCTGGACTATTTGGTGGTTGACATGTTAACTCAATGTCAAACCCATCAGACTTGGATGCCGCTAGAAAATCAGGATCATCACATGCTAAATGAGGTCCAACATTATTTTGCTATATGCAAATTCTCTTACACCCAAAACTTTGTTGATTAAAAATGACTTGTACACCTCTTTGTTCAGTGAGAGCACATGCTTGGTAACTAAGGTACCCCTGGGTCTGCTTCTACTACGTCTCCTAACTGGTTCTGTCACTACAAATGGGAAAATATCAATTTTTCCATCAAATGTAACTTCACCAGTTTCTGAATATTGTGGCCTAGCAGAGGCAACAAGGAACATGACTTTCGTTATAAACTTTATGGACTGAACAGTCCTATGTAAGTTATTCTCCTCATCTGCATGAACATACACTCTTTGTGTGGTTTGAGTCATGTAAAACAATTTTTCATCCACATGCACATAATTATAGAAGTCTTCAAATGTAGGTTCCATATTAATGGTACTAGTTTTCAGTTACTTATACAGAATTGTAAGCATTTTACCTTCTTTTCTTTTGACAAGTAAAGCTTAATTAATGGAATTTGTGTGAGCCTTTATATTTCCACATTTGACCATTCTATGCACAGTGCTTTTTGACTTCAAAATAGCCTTTGTCAATGCTCTGATAGTTCTTCCTTTACTTGGGGATACAGCTGAGACCTCTTCCACTGATATGTTAATCTTCTCCCGTCCATATAGTTTACCTTTCATCTTTTTTGATATTGAGATGGCCTTTCCTTCTTGAATTTGTTTCTTTGTAGATGCCCATAGCCTTTGCACAGTTTTTGAGCTTATGTTGTGTTCTGCTGCCAATTTCTTCATCACACCCCTTGTTGGCTTTCCATTTTTTATGTGCTGTAAAAGTACTTGAATCATGCATGTTCTTTGTTCATCAGAAAGCTTGTGTGTTTGTTTTATTTTTGGTGTGTTGTTTTCTGTTTCAGGTTCAAGAAGGGTGATTGTGGGATCTTCCATTCTTGAAGACAATGAAAATGAAGAAAAAGTTGGGTGATGAGTAGAACAAAACCACCATAAATTAATAGAAAAGAGAGCTGCAAAAAGGAGAAGAAAAAGAAGAATGGGAGCAGGAACAAGAAAGGAGAAAAAGGAAAGGGAATGAGAGACTCCTGGTTATATGCTACACTTAGATTAGATTAAGGAGGGAATTTGTTTTGCTTTGGAGCGAAATTATTGTAATCATTTAGTCTACCAAATGCCCATAGTATGAGGTGAATAGTATATTGTACTTGAAATTATATTTAATGTTTAACTTTGAAATGTTTTCTTTTTTTAATGATTGGAGTATGGGTGAATGAAGGTGGGATGGAGGGCATTTGAGACTTTTTCACAGCCCCTTCCCCACTTTCTTGGTTCTTGGTCCCAAAAAAATGTGGACAAAGAGAAAGGGATGGAGGGAGTACAAAGTTCCATTTTTACACACGATTTGAACCATTTTACCCTCCCTTCCATCTCCCTATATAATGATTTGACTCCTTAATTGGGGATAATTTGGAAAAATTTTAATGATTTGACTTTTCCTTAATTTTTTTTAAAATGGAAAATAGTAATCTAAAAAGGGACAGGAAGTGTGTAAAACTTAGAATCGCAATGGTACAACTCATCATTGAAATAAAAAATAAAGTTTCTTGATAGAATTCATGATGGTCTATGGATTAGTGGATTGGGTTATGAGACTTTTAGTTGAACCACGTTAAAAATCAAACTTAATTGATTATTTAGTTCAACTCACAGGCTTATATATTGATTATTTTTCTCATCACATTCCGATGTGGATATACTCTAACACTCTTCTTCAAGAATATAATCAGGTCAATTTGAATTTAACGGGTTGATCACTTGCAAATGAATTCTCATCCCTTGATTTTTTTAGCACCAACACCTAAAGAACCACGAGTCGCAGAGTACGAATGTCCAGACGAGAAATCGAGTTAAACGAGCCACAAGCCGTTGGATTTACATTCCGCACGAACATCTAGGCTAACAAGGTAGGCTAAACTAGTTCCAATACCATGATAGAATTTATTAAGTATGAGCTACTAGATAGGGTCATAAAATATATAACTATTACTCCTTCCGTTCTCAAAAACACTTCCTCTTTCATTTTTTCCACTTCCAACAAAACACTTCTCCTTTCTATTAAAAAACCACTTTTACCCTTACTTTTTCTTATCCTACCTATCACATTATACTTTTTCTCTAATAATCTATCCATCACATCTTACTTTTACCCATCACATCAGAGGCAAAATTGGAAATCAACTATAATTTAACACTTCCTTATTTTTGCCCCCAAATTAAATGGGAAGGATTTTTTCAAACTGAGGAAGTATTTTTTTCTAAAAAAGATAAATAGATGAAATAGACCCTACTACCCCACCCTCTAGCCAGACTTCACTTAGAAGGTCTTTGGCTATTGAGAATTTGAGATTTGAGAACTAAAAACAGAATGCTAAAAGCTAGAATTTTGAAAAATATAGAGCGTCTTGGAGCGCTACCCGCGCCTTCAATGCGTCAGTTCGCGCCTATCATCCAAAATTGGCGAACTATGTCACCTGACGAAGAACTTGGCAACTGCATCTCTCTCCTGCAAAAAAATTTCTTGAGGTATTTTTCCGATTGAGCAATTTTTCTTTCCAGATTGAGCAAATTATTATTTTGGGAAGTGAAACTATCGATTTCAACTAAGAAATCATCTTCTGAATCGATAGATCTGGTTGCGTCAAATTCGCAATTTCAGTAACAGTAAATAGATCCAGGAAATAAATACTGTCCCCAGCTTGCCATTGCGGACATTTTTTTTGCTTTTGTTCCATCATCTGATCGTTTTTTTTGTTATTCTTTTTTGCTCAACAAATTTCTATCGATTGGGATTTTTTTTTTGTTTTTGCATATTTGCTGTTATGTGATTTCTGCATATTTGCCATAGTTTCTGCAGATAACTTCCAATATGTGTTGAATGGTTATGTAATGAAGAACTTGAAGTAGAGATAATTTTTTTTTAATAATAATTAAATAATAGTGAGTAAAAAATACGAGTAATAATATAGATTTCATGGTTGGAATAGAGGTAAAATAGTTCGAAGCTAAAAACTATTGAAGAGCTAAAATGACATTAAGCCTTTAAATTTTATGCACTCTTACTTGGAGATGCTCTTACAATATGATTTGGATGGTTTGCAACTGGTGATGGTAAGTTATCCAAGAATCCCACTAGTAAAGGTACATACTTTAAGCTTGTTGGGGTATGAGATAAAAGGCTCTTTATGCAAAGGCACAAATTCTTATGTTTACGGCTGCACCCCATTTAAATATTTCTTCAATCCTAAGCCACTAAACCAACTCAATTAGTTCCTCCCTTCATTAGTTTCTTAATTATTTGGCTCCTTTTTTTGATGTCTATCCCTATCCCACTAATGCTCTTCTTCTTCTCCCTTTTGTTGTTATTATCAGTGGCAGTGTCGTCGTCGTATGGGATAGCCATACACAACCAGTCCGATTTCTTCCGTCTTATGAAGAACTCCTTGGCAGGGGAGTTCATGGCTAACTGGGACGAAAGAGCTCTTTGCAACTATCCAGGGATTGGGTGCGATGAACTTGGCGATGTTGTAGAGATTGACATATCGGGGCGGTCATTATCCGGCCGCTTCCCGGATGATGCTTGCACATATTTGCCGAAACTGCAAATCCTTCGCCTCGGCCCGAACCATTTCCATGGAACTCGACTTCCTGCTGGCATCACCAACTGCTCTCTCCTGGAAGAGCTCAACATGACGAGGACGCATGTGATGGGAGCCTTGCCCCCAGACTGGACACACATGGGAGCTCTGAAGTCACTTGATCTCTCCTACAACCTCTTCTTCGGTGAGTTTCCGGTGTCTTCGATCACCAACCTCAGCAATCTTCAGGTTCTCAACATCAACCAGAACAAAGGTTTCAGCCCCTGGGAACTCCCCGCGGACATCTCGCGGCTGACGAAGCTCACAGACATGGTCCTGACTACTTGCAGCTTACATGGAAGGATTCCCGGGTCGATCGGGAACATGACACAGCTGCTAGACCTTGAACTGTGTGATAATGCTTTGGTGGGGAAGATTCCGGCCGAACTAGGGATGTTAAGCAACCTGGAAATGCTTGAGCTCTATTTCAACCAATTTGAGGGTGAAATTCCAGAGGAGCTTGGAAACTTGACAAACCTCGTAGACTTGGATTTGTCTGGGAACAAGTTGACGGGTAGAATCCCGGACTCCATTTCTATGCTTCCCAAGCTACAAGTCTTGCAGCTCTACAACAATTTTCTCTCCGGGGAGTTCCCCTCTCGCCTGGCTAATTCCACAACTCTAAGAATCTTGTCTCTCTACAGCAATTACTTGTCCGGGGAAATCCCGGGACACTTTGGGGCGTCATCCGCCCTGGCTGTCTTGGACTTGTCGGAGAATCAATTCTCGGGAAAGCTACCGCCTCGGCTTTGTGAAAGAGGTAAGCTGGTGTACATCCTTTTACTCCAGAATTCTTTCTCGGGAGAACTGCCAGCGAATTATGGATGGTGTTGGACGCTTCTCCGGTTCAGAGTTAACAACAATCATTTGGAGGGTGAGGTGCCAGAAGCAATATTTGGCCTTCCACATGCTTTCATCATTGACCTGAGTTATAACCAGTTGAGCGGTTCGATTCCGGCCACCATTGGGAACGCTAAGAACTTGTCAGAACTTCTCATTCCGGGCAATCAAATTTCAGGCATGTTTCCGCGCGAAATCTCCTGGGCTAACAATCTGGTGAAGGTTGATGTCAGCAAGAATCTCCTTTCAGGTCCAATACCTCACGAAATCTCGTACCTTAGAAGGCTCAATGTGTTGATCATGCATGGGAACAGGTTCAATTCTTCGATTCCTGAGTCGTTGTCTTCGATGAAATCGTTGAATTATCTCGACTTGTCCGATAATCTTTTGTCTGGAAGGATCCCAGAGAGTCTTGGTGAGCTACTAGAACTACTACCCACTCAGATGAACTTCTCAAACAATATGCTCTCTGGTCCTATACCTGTGTCCTTTATCAAAACAGGTGTTTTACAAGGCTTTTCTGGCAACCCAGAACTATGCCTCTTGCACTCTTCTTATTCCAGCACAAAGTTCCCCCTCTGCTCGCAATCTCACAAGCTCAAGAATACAAAAATTATTTTGGTTGTCGCGGTCACAATATGCTTTGTCATTGTCGGAATCGTTTTATTTCTGAGGCAGTGGCTTCGAAAAGAAAGAGATTTGGCGCGTCGAGAAGAACGGAAGCTTCAATACTCATTTTTGTCCTATGATGTCAAGAGCTTCCACAAGCTCAACTTTGATGAGAGGGAAGTTTTCAACGGAGTGGTTGAGCAGAACAAAGTGGGAGAGGGAGGTTCTGGGAAGGTGTATAAAGTCAGAGTGAGCAACGGAGAAACCTTAGCGGTGAAGAAGCTCCGGAGCCAGAAAGGAAACTGCGGAGTGATTCTTGACAAGGAATTAAAAGCTGAGGTGGAGACACTGGGCAGCATACGCCACAAGAACATTGTGAAGCTGTATTGCTACTTCTCTGGCTTGGATTGTAGCATGTTGGTTTACGAATACATGCCAAATGGGAATCTCGGAGAGGCCCTCCATGGAGGAAATATGGTTTTAGATTGGCCGATTCGTCACCAGATTGCACTGGGAATTGCCCGCGGTTTGGCTTATCTGCATCACGATCTTCAACTCCCAATTATACATAGGGACATCAAATGCACCAATATCCTGCTAGATGTCGATTATCACCCCAAAGTGGCAGATTTTGGAATCGCTAAAGTTTTGCAAGCAAGAGGGAAAGATTCAACCTCCACAGTCATTGCAGGGACATACGGTTACCTAGCACCAGGTAGCAGCATGACTATATCCAGTTAATATGAATCCTTCATCTTCTTTTTTTTAAAAACTTCGCTTTCCATATGAATCAGAATACGCGTACTCTGCCAAGACAACCACAAAGTGCGACGTTTACAGTTTCGGGGTGGTGCTAATGGAGCTGATAACTGGGAAAAAGCCAGTGGAACCGGAGTTTGGGGAGAACAAGAACATTGTATACTGGGTTTCAAGAAAGGTGGAAACCATGGAAGGAGCGTACGACTTGTTGGACAAACGAGTGTGCGAGTCGTACAAGGAATATATGATCAAGGCACTCCGGATCGCCGTGCATTGCACCTATAGGACACCTGCCCTACGCCCCACCATGAATGAAGTCGTCAAGCATTTGATGGAAACACCAAATATATCCCCGGGCAGGAAAGAGCCATGCAAACAACCTCCTGAGTTTCAACTCTCAATCGAATGAGTCGATGAGTGTGCCACCTTCCTTGCCAATCTTCTCTTGTGTTGGGGAGGGGCATTCTGGATAGTATAAAAGAAGAGGGAATACATTATAAGTACAACTAACTATAATAATTTCTGTAGCATTTAGGGGCAGAAATGAATGATTGTGGATATTCTGTAAAGATCTATTTTCAATTCTGTTATGAGCTCTATGTGCTGGAGTAGGGTAACTCATTCCATCACTCTCTCAATGTCATTTAAATAAAAATGTCATTGACCCTTACCACCTATTCGCTCCATTTTCTCCCTCCCTAGTCCTTTATCATGTAAATGTTATATTTGTCTCTATATGATTGCAAATTGCTTATTACGGAACCAAAAATGTCATTGACCCTTACCACCTATTCATTATTATACTCACACGACTTTGTCATTGCAAAAGCATAATCGGAACCAAATACAACTTTGGTATGCTCTTTACAGTATTCCTTCATATTAAGCTATCAGTCTCATGTGGCCAGACCTCATAAACAATGGAACAATCTAGCAAAATGGCTTGAATTTCATGTACCTAAAAACCTTATTCCGCTCCTAATATCAGGCGACCCCTAACACAAAAAGACCCCCTCCAACGAGCCTAATCATCGTGTTGCCTACGACATTTATAATTTCTGAGCCTGTGCGAAGCACGAGGTAGAGCACTAGTTCAAAAT